CCCAATGGTCATTGCTTCTCGCTACAACATACCGTTTTGCTTGGAAAAACCAGGCATTGGACGAGTAAGTTGCATACTTCCACTGTTCCGTGCATCGCAGAACTCCTCCAACTTTTACAACTTCTTCTGTCTTGATTGATCCTCGGTCAGTTAAAGGCAGATTCTTTGTCGCATCTGTTGTTGTGAATGTGTTACACGAATTACAAATCCCAAGTGCTTAGCAGTTTTAGATTTCTTTTCGGATTAATGTACTTCCCCGGGGCTTCTCTGCACTTTTTTTTGCAGCAGGTAACTGGCGAAGTGTATGAAGTGGATGAGCAAAAGCTAAAGGCGCTTGATGAGCTGGAAGAACATCCGACCTTCTACAAGCGACAGCTGCAGCAGGTTCCTATCCTCTCCATTATCAGCGCATGTCAGCTGATGAGACGGCCATCTTTATAGATTGAAATGGATCACAATGAAACTGTAACGGCGTGGATTTACTTGTTGCCAAAATGGAAGGCAAATTCACTGGAAGATTGCACCGACTACCTCGAAACTTACAACTCAAATGGACCACACAATCGCCCTTATGTGGAAAGGTCGGTTCCAGTGAACAGCTAAAATCCAGATGAATAGGTCAAGTTTAGAGGCGGTTCCGTGAAATATATTGGAAAGACGATTTGTTTGCCCCACGGAGGTTTGTGCCATAATTTCCCAGAAATCCTGGTAATGGAGGTGGGATGTGAACATAGATAAACAAAGTACTGGCTGTCTTATAAAGCAACAAAAACCAAGGAGCAGCTGTATACGGTAGCCTATGTGTAGTTTCCGAACCGATATTCCTGCCGATCTTGACTGACACTGAGAGGGATTGAGAAATCCATTTTTCAGCGAGAACTGTCGAAGTCTGGATGATTTGTAAGGAGCGACGGAATTCTGTGATGTTTTATCTCTTGCTCAAGCTTTTCTTTGCTGCAACATGCAGAACCAAAAATCAATAAAAAGTACACAAATATCGGGGTAGTGACTGCACCACCATAATCTTTCATAGTTTCTGACTCCACTCCCCCTCGATGTCACAGAAGGGAGGATTTTCACTGCCAAAAAAAAAAAATTAATGCGCAACTTGAAAGCTCACTGATTTCCCCAGTATCTCTAGAACCCCATCAATTCAGTAACGAGTAGATCGGGGAAAAATGCTGGGAATGTTTCATGTTATTCACATCAGCAGAGCCTGTAACTGTCGCATTTGTTAATCGAATATCAGTGTTCGATTAAGGGAGGAATCCAATGCACACTGTAGTTGCCCCTTAGGCTAAACAACACGACATGGGAAAGACAAAATCAGGATCTTCCTCTTTCTGGGGGTGCAGTCACGCTGAAATAATCCGGGTGGTAACAGACCATCAACAGTAAAGCTGCCGGTGACCTTCTCTCTTCCAAGAAGCAAACTAATGACCCCACGGAAGTGGCAGTACCTGTTTCCTGTTGAAAAGAATGAGCAAAAAGCGCTGAACTGTTTTTTCTACAGGCGGAATCGAACGACAACCTGCAGCAAGACAGAAGCATTGCGCACCGCTACGCCAAAAAAGCCATCAAAACAATAGCCAAAATGCTCATACAGAAGCGAATCACATACTTAAAACCATCTTATCCTGTTCAGTGATTAACTCAGTCTCAACAACGCATGCAATAAAGTGCAGCAACAGTACTTCCAGGCATTTTTAGCTGGTAAGAATTCAGCATTTGCACAAATATAACTGCAAAAACGTCGGAAACATTCGGAGGCCCAGCAGAAGGCGGCTTGTTTCTGGAACAGGATTAAGGCTGTCCGACCTCGCAAAATTTTGCGGAAAATCTTATAATTCACTTTAAATCGGTTTCACAGTTGGAAAGACTGAGATTGTGGAAAAAGTACACCACCAGGCCACTGCGACTTCTTTTAAAGCCGCATTAAAAAACAGTCAACAGAAATATTAATTCGCCGTTAAATTCGGGGAATTACTGGGAAGCGATTCTGGATCTTGCTTTGCGCCCTCTTTTAGCAGCGCCTCAACGACACTTTTCTCCTGCTCACTCATTGGGACTGTCTTCGCGTTTTCCTCACCCGCTTGCTGCAACACTTCCATCTTAGTGCGAATCATTTCGGGTAGCGGGGCAATTTCATCGTATGTCACTTTCATAGCAATTCCTTCCGGTATGTTTCGCTGAATGTATTCCAGAAAGGTGCTCGCTGTACTGCCTGTAACGTTCTTGATAGTGAATTGACGGATGTGAGTTCTCGTCTCATAATGAAGCTGGTTCTTTTTCTTCGCGAACTTTGCCCTGAGAGCATTCTGAATCCACCACACATATGGAAACACTTTTATTGAAACCACCTCAATTTGTAGATGCCCGCAAACCGCCTGAAAAAAAATAAGTAGCAACGCGCACCAGACTAGCCGGTGCGATCATGCGTTTTGTGCAGTCCACCCCATCGGACGATTGCCTGTAATGATTTTCGCTGCTTTGTACTTTAGTCTATGCAAAAATAGTTCAAACATTGGAAAACAGTTAAAAATT